GGATGAGCAAGGGGAGGGGCAGTAGGAGATGAGGTCTGTCTGAGAGGGAGGTATGGGATCCTTGGGTTTTGTTCCCAGTGTAATGAGAAACCACTGAAGGATCTTGAACAGGGAAGTAACATGATCTAATTTAGCTTTTCTAAAATGAATGGCTCCCAGTGCAGAAAGTGAATAGGCATGGTCAACACTCTCATGGGAGTAACAATCAGTCATATTCTCCTGTTTTATCAGGTAAATTATCCACTCTTCCTTGATCTTGAGGTGGAGTCAGCAAACTTTTTCTGTAAATGGCCAGATAGTAAATATTTTAGGCTTTGTGGACCGTATGGCCTCTGTCATAACTACTCCACTCTGCCTCTGGAGCTTGAAAGCAGCCTTGGACAGTATGTACCTGAATGAAACTGGCTGTGTTCCAGGTGACCAGCCATCCCAACTTGCCTGGGACATAGGGGTTTTCCAGGATCTAAGAGTTTCAGTGCTCAGCTGAGATAGTGTGGGCAAATGGGGATGGTTGATGAATTCCAAGAAAACTTTGTTTATGGACACTGAAATTTGAATTTCATATATATCTCACATGTCATGAAATAATCTTCTTTTGATTTTCCCCCCAATAATTTAAAAATACAAAAACCAAGCTTAGTTCACACAAAAACAGGTGGCAGTCTGGATTTGACCCACAGGTTGTAAGTTGTCCACCCCTGGTCTTGAGGACCCATCAGTGAAACTCATGGCTACTCACGCTTTCCCTCCTCCTATGTTTCCCTTCCATCCTGATGCCAGCCCCTGCCCACCTCTCTAGCCTCATCCCCTGCAGGTCACCATGTTCCTGCCCTACTAGCTGGGTCTGGGTTCTGTGGCTGTTCCAGACTCCACCCACTTGAAGACTTGACACATGCTGTCCCTTTATCCTGAGAATTCTTCCCCTGCCTTTTCACCTGGAGAATGCATAGCTCCTACTCAGAGTGAAGGTTACATATGGCTCTCTGCGTTAGACTTTCTCATACACACGCCCTTTGTTTTTTCTGCCCCAAAGGTTGACCAGCAGCCTATGTCCTGGCTTGGAGTGAAAGCTGCCCCAATGGTAATATAACCAGTTCTCTGGCTCAGGGATTCAAACCGGAGACACAGGGAGGGAGAAGTCACTTGATAGCACATGAGGAAACTGCAAAGACACCCCAAGGAGGCAGGCGAGCGGAGGCCATGAAGTAGCAGGGCCATGAGAGCCCAGTGTTCATAGAGCATGAGTCAGCAGTAGTTCCAGGTGAGCAGGGGCTGTAGGCAAGGATGGAGGCAGATAAGGCAGCAGGAAGAGCAGAAAGATGGAGCAAATGAATCACCATCACGGTTGAGACTTGATTTATTTCTACAGTCTGGGGAGCGACCAGACATCCCAGACTCTGGCGTACTCATGAATCCTGACTGTCCACTTTCCACAAGGCCTTGCCTTATGACTGTTTGGGGGCTCCCGTGTGATTCCCATCTCCTTCCTGCCATGAGGCCCCTTCCAAAAAAACCTCCCCCAGCTCAGTGCCTTGCACAAAGTAGGTACTTGAGAAATATGCAAGGATTTGTAAGATGTGAAATTTGTAAGAATGAGTCACTTGAGATGATCTAAGAAAAAACTGCTTCTTGCAATCAAAATTTCCTAACGCACCACCTACATTTTGGGGTTGTGATGTGTAGCCACTTTCTTGGGGATGAATACAGGGCCCTTTCCATGCCTTATGCAGCCCAGCACATCACTCACTGTAATTGCTGAGCAAAGGATCCCATCTGAGAGCCTGAGCTCATGCAGAGACATAGGAGGGACCAGAAAAGTCTCAGGCACGGGTTGTTAGGGTGCAGGGAGAGGGACCGTAAATACAGTAGCCACACATCCAAAGGGTGGACGAGAAGGTCTCACTTCTTTGTATCCAGCCACTATTGAGAGCCACGTGGGAAACCAGACAGGACGTGCTGCCCGGAAGACGGGCAGCCTTAAGAAATGAGAAGGACTTTAATTAGTTCTTGACTGGGCTAAATGTGCCAGAAAAGTGAAAAGGAAGAGACTTTCTCCAGGTGGAGCAAGATTGGTTCTTGTCTGGCGTATTTAATGGGTCAACAGACACTCAACAGAACAAGTTATTCCACTCCTCTCCCCCTCCCCCTCAGGCCTTTGAAAACTTACTTTATCAAAATTAAAGCTAGATTCTGCTGTCAGGGGAAGCTCTTAATGAATGAATTTGGAATACTCAGATAATGCATTTGAAATCCTTTCAAACCACTGCAGTTGTGATATGCAGGGGCACATCCTACCTCTAGGGGGCAGTATCCCAAGAAGAGAGGGGCCCCGGGCTGAGAGCCCTGGGAACAGGCGGATGCTCACTTGAGCGCTTTAGTTGAGATCATAGCACTGGCTTTTCCCTGGTTCCAGAAAGAAGGAAAAAGTCCCAGTTGAATAAGATGTAAAAGGCATTTTACCTGGCTTTTTGGAGAAATTAAAATTCTTCACATACACGTGCACTACACACACACTCACACAAGCACACATGCGCACTCAACACAGCCCGCCTCTCCCCCAGTCACCGCCAAATAGCACGATGTGCTTCTTTTGCTTGAAAGGTGATCTTTTCTCTGTAGCTGTGTGGCTGTATTTTTTTTATACATTTATTTTTCAAATAAACTCAAACTTCTAAATTATCTCGGAACGATTAAAGACAATCGGCTGCAGTTTTGAGAGGGGAACTCCCCACCAGGTACATTCCAGGATCGTAGTTCCATTGCTCTCTGGAGGGAATTGCTGGGGAATGCTTTGGAAACTTGAAGGTAACTCAACCTCTATCGAGGTGAAAACATCTACTCTTCACTTGCCAAGGTCACGACTGAATTTCTCTTTAATTGGGTGGCTGCCTGAAGGCCCAGCGTGCTGTCTCTTATTCTTATTCATGCCTTTCTGTCACACACAGATGGCGTTTCTTCCTTGCCGCCCCCGTGTTATCCGGTATCTACTTCAAAGAATCTGTAGCTCAGCTCTTCTCTTATTCATTTGCCTGCATCCTCACTAGACCGCATATTCTGTACACTATGCTCTGGGGAGAATATCTTATTTTTGAATTCTCAGTGAGTAGCTTAACACCTGACACATAGTAGGAACACATGGTTGAATGTCGGTTGAATGAATGTCTTCCTCATCTTGGTGTATCCTATGCACAGTGTTTAAATATTCTCAGTACGTGATAAATTTGCATCACGTAAACCGTTTTTGTGGAACACATATGGTGGCCTGCTTTCTAAATCAGGTTATCTTATGACCAGACCCTTTGGAATGAATCTTCATTAGCCAACTACATTTTGGTGACCTTGTATGTGGCTTGAAACCCTTCCTTTTCCTTCGGAAAGCTTGGAAGGAAGCTTGAATATTAAAGAAAGTAGATGTCCCCACAGGCCCTGGGGACTCCTTCTACCTCCCCACAGGCCCTGGGGGCTCCTGCCATGGCTTCGCACCCAACGGCTTCCTTGAGCCTGTCCCAAGGGAGGGGAAACAGAGGGGCAGTAAGGCATCCAACTGGTGGCTCTGGGGTTGGCTTTTCATGATAGGGAAACAGGCAGGAAGGGAGGAAATGGCCTAATGACGGGGTGCTGTGACGTGAACCCATCCTGCACTGTGAAAGAACCAGTTCACAGCTTCCCTAGCGCCTGTGAGAAAGAAAAATTCTTCACACACATACCTGAAAAGCATTCTAATCCAGCCCCTAACTCCTCCTAAGGCCCCTCCACAGATCCCATGCTGCTCATGAAGCCAGCAAGTGGCAAAGTAAAAACTGCGAGATCTTCCCGTTACAGCATTGCCCCCAAATTCAACAGAGTGCCCTCAATCTACAACCTGTTGGCAACTGAATCATCAAAATAAACAAGAGCGATTATTTTCCCAATAGTAATAAAAAAGATTACTCAAAGATTCAGTGTTTCTTCATCTGAAAAGAAATAAAGGGCATAACTAAAGTCTGTGGGCACCCTGACTATGGCTCTATGATGCCATCTACTACCCCGAGGCCTCAATGTCTTTGTTTAGGTGACTATCCAACTCCTGGACTGAGAGCAACTTGGGGAAGGGACCTGGTCTCCTCCTTTGTGTCCCCAGAGCCCAGGACAATACCAGACACAAAGTCATCACACAACCCTTATCTGTCCAGTGGATGGTGGATGACACAGGGAAAGGAGAGCATATAATCACGGACCCTTCCACCAAAGTCTAGAATACCAAATTAGGGAGTGTCCCCTTGAAACCTGAAGGAGACACTTCTCAGGTGGACAAAAGGGCAGGGGACTTTACGTGGCATCTAGTCACTCAGCCAGCAAGCGCTGTTTGACTGCCTTTTGTGCCCACCCTTTGCGGGTGACAGCAGACCACCACCGGGATGAAGTGGCGAGGCCTGGGTCCACCTTGGGCTCAGACTGATGGGACAGCCTTGGGCATGTTCCTTAACCTTTTTGGGCTTCAGTTTCCTCATGGGAACAAAGAGGAAACTGGTTTCCAGTTCTAACAATCTGTTGTCTTCCGATTCAAGGAAGTATACCAAGAAGAAAACACAGATTTAAGAAGCATCCAGGAAAAATGTGTAGACTAGCCATGTACATATGAAACTGCTATGCTGTTTCACAGAACCTCCTTTGGGGCTGGATGGAACACTGGACAGGCCCCGAGTGACAACTGTCACGTTCAAGGTACATGCTGTTCTAAGGTGAAAGGATTCACAGGTCCTCACTGGCATGGGTCACAAAGTAAGGCCTGTCTCGAGTGGAAGAAAACATCTTAACGTGGCTGCCTGGGCTGTCTGTTGCCTCCCAGATTGCGTGTGATTTTAACAACACTTCCTAGTGAACGCTTTCATCTTGCAAACCACATTCGGAGTCAGTAAGCGTCCCCAGGAATGCTTATTGCAGACAACCAGCAGTAATACTCCCAGGGGGAGTTGGAGAGATGCAGGCTGGGCTAGCGAGGGATGCTGTGATCAGAGATTGGAGCGGTGGGACTGGTAGACACGGCTTCACAATGTGTGTTCCTTACATGTAGATCTGCAGAAAGAACGGGTCCCTAACCCTGAATGCAGCACGGACCCAGGCAGGAATCGTAATAAGCTGTTATGTGAGTCAACCTAGTAGAAAAGATACAGAATGCCCTTTTTTTCGGCTCCCTGTTTAATTCCATCTGAGCAAAATCTCAGGGTGAGTGGGAGGGAGGAGGAATGCGTGAGGCCATCCTTGAGTTGTCGCTGAGCCTGGGAGAGATTCAGAGCCTGCAGCTCTGCGTCCGCCGATGCTGCAGCAGTTGGCTGGGTCACCGAGTTGGCTGGTCCGTGTCCTCATAGTTTGGCCACTCCCTTCCTGATTCCAAGCTACTGCTTAGATGTTCCTTCCCTTCCCTTCTCTTTCACTTCACCGTTACAGAGTTTCACAGTATTTGGCTTTCCCTGCATTAAGAGTACTCTCAGGGAAAGATTATCCTATGACTCATCCCTCTCCTCTTCTACACGCTTCCCTCAGAATCCCTTGACAAAGCAGATGGGGGCCTGGGGATATTGATCCAATACTGGTAGGATTAACCCAGTTTCTACACAGCCTCAGTCGTGAAGCATGAGGTTCTATGGAATAACCAGGCCAGGGAAGGACCCAGGTAAAGGATAGAACCTTAGATTTAGGAGACCCACGTTCAGTTGTGGTTGGCATGACCAGACCACTCTTAGTCTGCTGTCTGTGGAAGGAGCCCCGATCCGGGCATCTCTGCCCTGCATTTTCTGGGTCAAGTGAAACAGTGTGCATGGGGGTGATTTGTGTAACCCTCTATCAACTCTCCTTCCATTAGCATGCACTCCAGAAAAACACAAGAAAGGAATGTCAGTGGATTAATTATTTCAGGGGGGTCTGGGTCTCCTCTCGAGCGTGGATGATGCCAGGAGGGAGGACATGGGAGGGGAAGGAGGCGCAGGCCAGGCAGGAATGGCCCTCCTCTTCTCCAGATGGAAGCTTCTCAGGACCTTTACCGTGTATCGTAGGCATGTGGACTGCACTCACGTGGTCTTTTCCAGCAAGGGACTTGGAATTATTTTCCTCGTTTGATTCCCTCATAAATGTAACTGGAACAATCAGAATGGTGCCAGACAGAATGTGAGCCAGTGAACGCCCATTCCTGGAAATATCAGACACGTTTAACTTAAAAGTATCCCCAGTGCCTAGGGCAGCACCTGGCACATGGTAGCCCCTCGACACACAACTTACTTGATAAATGAAGGGTTGAATGAACTGGCCTCTGATGGTCCCTCCAATCCTTTCATTTTGATTAAACATATACTAGTTCATTTAGCCAAGTCACGGGGGAGAAGTTTTTGGCCAGCATAAACAGAACCTACTTCTTACTTTAAACACCTCTCAGAGAAAGAATGTGTTTCAAACCAGACCACCCGGCTGGTCCAAGTGTCCCAGAAGCTACATTGGGTTTAAAATGTTTGGATTTGCTATGACAGCCCACACACAGTTCATGTATAATTTCCTGATGGAAATTCATCGAAACATAAGGAAGAAGGACCTTGTATACAAATTCAGTAATCAGCCTGGTAATTGATTAAAATCAGTAGAAATCAAACATGTTCTAGAATTTCTGAAAGGTCAGTTAGGCCACGTATAAGTTTATTAGAAAGTTGTCTTTTTACGATGACAAGTAGAAGACCCACACAACTTAACTTTTTACCTATAAGCATGGGTTTTACGAAACCTAGATATAAACCGGTTTTAGTTTTCCATAAGCATGGGTTGAACAATTACCACATGCCTAGCCTTGTGCTGGGCGCTCTGGGGGACGCTGCAATCTTTTTATTGACTCAGGAAGACAAGAAAATTCATCATCAGGTAAATTATTTAACAACCGCATATGAGAGGCAACATTCAGGTGACATATTGGTTATGAGCACAAGAGGACCAGAGTTTCCTCAGTAATTACACAGGCCTGGGAGCACTGCTATAAGATGAACCTTCTTGCCCCTACCAAACAGATGTCAAGGCATTTAGTGAGCGGAGGGATGGCCTAACAGTAGCTGTTTAGTGTGATAATGGCGTTTGATGGTTTGGACACAAACACCATTGTCACACTCCACAGCTCTGTTAAGGAAAATCGGTAGCCACGAAAGTGTTAATTTCACCTGCACATTCCACCATAGCCACTGAGCATCACCAGAGAGCCTCGCCAGCTCCACAGAGAGACCTGAGCAAAGAAAAAGAGGGATAACGGGTCGGAAGCATCTTGAGCAATGGAAAGAAACAAAGATGTCGGACTTCTGTGCTCTGGAACAGCCAGGCTAATAAAGGGACCCACCGCCTTGTGGTCTGCTACCACCCACAATGTCCTCCCAGCAACAGGAAGGAAGACTTCCTCTGGAAATGAAGGAGAAATCTGTTTGCGTCAATTTTCTAAAAGGGCTAAGAGGGGCTTCCCTGGTGGCGCAGTGGTTGAGAGTCCGCCTGCCGATGCGGGGGACACGGGTTCGTGCCCCGGTCCGGAAGGATCCCACATGCCGCGGAGCGGCTGGGCCCGTGAGCCATGGCCGCTGAGCCTGCGCGTCCGGAGCCTGTGCTCTGCAGCGGGAGAGGCCGCAGCAGTGAGAGGCCCGCGTACCGCAAAAATAAATAAATAAATAAATAAAGGGCTAAGAGAGAAAGAATCCCCAGAGGGAATCAATTTTAGGAAACAAATACTTGGTAGAAGACCACATTATAAACTGTAATAACATGACTGGATTCATTGATCGTCGCTGACTCTCTCCTCACCATCTATCCCAACCCATTATCAGTAACTGTGGTCAGCTCTGCAGTCTAAGAAAAACTATTTTGCATGGGAACCTACCATTCAGACGAGCTGTAATCCACTCTCAGTAACAGCTGTTGGATACAGAGGCATCCCACGGGGCTCAGGTGTCACATCTTACTCACCGCAGCGGTTTCCCACTGCAGTAGCGGGTGATATAGATGAGAGGAGGGAAGGACAGGAGGAAAATGGAGAGAGGGGAACTATTCCATTTTTTTGTTAATAATACTCCTTTTCTAGCAAAAGGGAGCCTCCTGTGAATAAATCCCTTCTGGTTTACTTGATTTCTTGTTTAAAAAAAAAAAAAGGGTTTCTGACTGATGTATGAGCTCCTGCCCACAGTGGAGCATGGGAGCAAATAAAGCATTTTATCTCAGCCTTTCTTTTCCCCAAAATGCTGGAAATGGAGAGGGATGGAGGCCAGTTTACTCCTTCCCCAAGATAACTGAGTTGTTAACCAGAGCATTGCTTCGGCCGTAAAATGGGCCCATTCTTAACTTGAAAATGAATCCTTCTGCCTTTTTTTTCAGTAAAAATGTCCCTTATTCACACGCAGACCGTGAAACAACCCTCTTCAACCTGGACCGTGCGGTTGAGAGCACACCACGGAAGCCACTCAGCTTCCGCGGGATTGGAGTGCTGGTCCCCGCCTCTTTTTTTCTCTCCAGTTTTATCGAGATAGCTAGCATATTCATTTTAGTGTAAAACATCAGACTGTTTTTGTTTTTTTTCTTTCCTTTTTCACTGTGTTGATTGCTTATCTTCCTACGAAGAGACTGACCTCCTTTGGTTCCTGTCTGTGACCCTGGCTCGCCTTTTCAGGGTGCAAGGTGGCAGGAAAGTGGCACCTGTCTCACTCTTAGACCTGCTGTCTTCAGGGGGAATTTTCCCCTGGGCATTTGGCAAGACTCACACCGAATACCAACTCTAGAGTTCCAGCTGGCCCCCTTTGCTACCGCAAACCCCTGGCACTCTGGGTGCAGCCGCAGGGGACACACTCGTGTGCTTAACCATCCCTGGTTCTTCCCTTCCCTACAGCACCTTCTAACAACTTAGCCAGGCTCATCTGCTTTGTCTTTGCCCAAGGGACTAGAACAGAAAGCCCCCGTTCTTGGTCACTCCTGGGATGTTCTGACCATGGCGAGAGGCTCCAGAAATCTCTTAGCTCAGTTGGAAAGAATCATCGGGAGGTGATCAATTCACTAGTGACAAAGGTCCTGGTAGGACACGCTTGGAGAGCTCTCTATCGGTCAAGCTCCTGGGGTCATTTGACTTCAGAAGCTCATAGCAATGTCTGAGCCCTTCTGCACTTCTCCGCGTGGGCCTTGTATGCCTTGAAAGCCTGAAGCTTTCGGTAACCTGCAAAAGACAGAATAGGGAAGGAAGAGTAAACAGGGGAAAGAAGAAAAGAGAGGAGGTAGTTAATGTGTTAATGGTAAATCTTACCAAAATCCTCCTCCAAATAAACCTCTATTTCTTTGGTCCAGGAAATTCATGGCAAGGAAAAAGTCCTTGAATTTGTAGAAAAGATTTTCTTTTCTACCCATTTGTAGAAAGCTTTACCTATAAGGTTGTCCAGAGAGGCATCGTTTATAACAGTAAGAATTGCAAACAACTTAAATGTCCAATTATAGGGGAAGTGTGATATATTTATAGTCCACCCTAGTCATTTAAGGTGATGTTGTAGAAGAATGCTTATTGACTTGGAAAGAGATTCAAGAGATGTTATCGAATGAAGAAGTAGTTTACAAAACTATATCCACAGTATGAGCCCCCTTCTGTGAAAAAAGGCATACATGCCTAGGGCAAAAACATCAACTGTTAACCATGGAATTATGGTCTTGTTTTTTGTTTTCTCCTTTTGCTTCTCTGCATTTATTCATTCTATAATTAATGTAATAGTTTTGTAATGAGAAAAATAATTAGAATGTAAACATTTTTAAGAAGTTTTTTTTGGTGTGGATTTCCTAATAAAAATTCCTTCTTGCAAAACATTCTTCTGAAACTGTGAAGTTAGAATTTACCCTATTCCTACTCTGCTTGTCAACAAGCTTGAAAAGTTAGCGCTGGGCTGAGAGATGGGCCACAGGCTAATTTCCTAGCAAAATTATTAGCAAAATGCTTTATTAGGCACTACAATTATTTTATGGTATTATGGCATCAATTAAACACATTTATTGAGTGCCTACTGTGTTCTTGGATTGTGAACAATTTAAAAATATAACAGCCATCATCTTTTATTACTTCTTCGATGGTTTCTGCGAGAGTGGTTGAATTCTGTCAACCTGCAAAGCAGTTTAAATGGGCAAGTAGAATGTTTTCATTTTTTTCAAATGCCATCCAATAATATGTCACTAAGAAAAAAAAAATTGGAAGTGGTTAATGCCAGGACCTACTTGGATATAGTTTTAAAAATTTAAATAGACACTTCTCATTCTGCAGGTTTAAAACAATCTTTCATATTTTCAGATTTAACAACTGAACTTAAATAGCTCCAGCTAATAAAAAAAACTCAGAAAGTTTATAAGCTGGTTGGGAAATAATTACACTTGTTATTTCCTGTGAAAAAATCGTTAAAGGCAAAGAGGTTGGAAATTAATTCAGGGTGATGTGTCCAAATGCCAGCAGTTTTCCACAGCTGGAAAAGGCCTTGGGGGATCGTGTTTAATTTCTCTCCTCTGATCTCAGCTACACAAATCTCCCATTGTCTCTCTTTGAGCTTTACTTCCTGAGAGAGGTTGAGTACCAGGCATTCCTAAATGGCTCTTTATTAAAATGAAACTTCTGTGCAGTGTCCCAGGCTCCCTTCCCTCACCTTCCCAACCTGGACAGAATCTCTAGACATTTCTAGCTGCTGTGGTCAATTCAGATTGCAGTTTTCCCATTGAGTTCATGGGTATGAAAAACAGGCAAGGCTGGATTTACTCTTTTTAAAGTTGGGCGTTTCTTTTCATAAATGGGGAGGGGGCAGGAAGGGGGAGTTCACTGAGAAGAAAGCCTTTACAAAGCCTAATCCTCTAGCTAATTCACCAACCTGTAAATATTCTGCGTGCATCACACCTCCCTGTAAGATGTCTGAGATTCACAAGCACCAGGAATATCACAAAACTCCCTATGCTTTCTCAGGTCAGATATGGGCATAAGCAGCCTGTCTTTGCTTTCACATTTTATTTCCCAGGGTCTGGGAACATTCTAGGGCCAACTCCAGAGAGCTGAGAAAAGAGTGCCTTGAGGACCGTGAAGTGTCACTTTGCTGCAAACCTAACCCTTCAGCACCTAAGAAAGATTCTTAAAAAGCAAATGATAAATGGAGATGCTTTTTCTTAATTCCAAATCCACATTTCCTGTCATTTCAAATAGATGTGTTAAAGACGTCAATTTGATTCTTTTAGACTATTATAGTCTAGAAGACAAAAGAAGTCAGTTGCATATGCCTGAGTCTTGTCATTTTGAAAGCGCATGGAAATTTTAAAATAGAATGTTCTTTTCCATAGGGAGCAAGGAAGCATTTCTTTTCTCATTGAAATCCATCTAGAGGGGAAATCAGGAAAGTTTATGCATGTGTCCATTATGCCCGTTATCGCCAGCCAGAGTTGAGAGGGGATCACTGAGCAAATTCTCAGCCAAGTTGAGGTCTTCATAGACTCTTTTCAAAGAGAACTGCTGAGGCCTGGGGATTCCTAGGAGCCAGTTTCATTTCTATGCAGGTGTCCAGCTATTTCCAGTGCTGTCCAGGGAACAATACCATTTGGACAGAGGAAGAGCTCCAGTGTTGGAGTTTTAGAAGTTGAGAAACAAAATGTAGGGAGCCCTGCGGTTGTGCTTGCCCTGAAACAGGGGGAAGGGAAGGACTTCTGGGCAAACAAACCTCCTAATTCCAGGTATCCTACGGGTGGAATCTTGTTTGAAGGCCTTGGTGTTATTGTTAAATCACACCATCATAAAACAGGAAATGGCTTCATATACAGCCACTCCAAGGCCATGCCACCTCCAGGCCCTAGACTCCTCCCCCCTCCTTCACCTTCTCCTTTCCCTCCACTGGGGGGAGAAGCATCTTTAGGAGAGTCTCCAGTTTTCTTAGGCTCTCTGAAGATGCAGAATAATCGTGGCAGACAGATTCCATTGTGGTGTGTGTAACATGTCACATTGCTTAGGTGCTGTAGGGTGTTTTTAAACACCTGGGTGGCAGCTCACCCTCACTTCTCAAAGTCAGTGGCCCCCCAGAGGAAAAGCCTAAATCACACAGGGGAGTTGGAAGATACTGGAATGTGTGTGGGGAGGCACCTACCTTCCAGTCACCTCATGTCTTCTCCGGGCCCAGGGCCCGTTCTCTGCCAGTGGGATGGTGCCTTCTGTTCTCCCCTCTCCTGGCTGTATGGGGGTGGCCATGGGCGCCAGCCCTGAGCTTCTGTGGGGTTTAGGCCTTTCCCCGCTCCCTTTATGGGATCCAGGGTTTTAAAGTAAACAGTTCTTTCTCTTTCTGATAAGTCACATTAAAGTATCGATTTGGAGGGAGGGAGGGCACGACCTTAGCCCTTAGTCATCGTCACCTTTGGTCAAGCTCACTAAGCAGGACTGGAAGGCCTGCGTCCCCCTCCTGTGGCCGAAATGGAGGCCCTTGCCCCTGCTAAGCACAGTATTTCCCTCAGAAATCCAGGTTTAAACCCGTTTAACTCCTTCCTCACAGGAAGACCGCAGTTTATTACACTGTCACCTCCTCAGATTTCTAGATCCAGAAAAGTCACCTGATCACAGGAACCTATTAAATATATCCTTGGCGCATCCTACTTCAAGCTCTCGACCAATATTTGGAAGCCAATCTCACGGTCCTCTTGAACCAATCGTTTCTGACGTAGTTACAATCTACTTACTTGTTCACGCCAACAATGATTTATTAAGCCCCTCCTTACCTGTTCAGCTCTGGTATCACAATGGTGAGCGAGACAAACGGAGTTTACATTCTGGTTAAAAAAAAAAAAAAAGACAGATAAAAGAGAGAGCCATGCAAAGGCAATAACAACCACCACCACTGGAGGCTGCCCCTGGCCCTAAACGTAGTCTGTCAGCTGCTATTATCTTTAATGTTTCTGATCATTTCTTTTCCTCCTCAGGCCACTTTGCTATTTTGCCTTCTTACGCTTTGAAAAGAAGCTATTTGTTATCCTCTCTAGTAAGAACCAGTCCTCACTTCAGATCGCATTTATCCTGGTCGAAGCTCATGACCCTCTGAGGAGAAGAGGCAGCCTTAACTAGTGGGTATGTTGCCATTTTGTCCTACACAGAATTGGAAGGGAAAGCAAAATATGCTCTGGCCTTTCTTCTTCTTCCCTAAGAACTGATGTCAAGAAATGAGTCCCGGGCTTCCCTGGTGGCGCAGTGGTTGAGAGTCCGCCTGCCGATGCAGGGGACACGGGTTCGTGCCCCGGTCCGGGAAGATCCCACATGCCGCGGAGCGGCTGGGCCCGTGAGCCATGGCCGCTGAGCCTGCGCGTCCGGAGCCTGTGCTCCGCAACGGGAGAGGCCACAACAGTGAGAGGCCCACGTACCGCAAAAAAAAAAAAAAAAAAGAAAGAAATGAGTCCCAAGTTTGCCCCTATCTTTGGTCCTGCTTCTAGTCCCTTCCCTCCAACCACCTGAGATCAAACTGAGAACTTGTTCCTAGAAAAGACCAGGGTGGTCCGGGAGGGAAGAGGGATTGGCCATGGCCTTGTGAAGGCTGGCACATTCATATGGTAAAAGCCCACATGTTCATCCTGAAGTGGGACAAAAACATTGGCGTGGGTCCTGTGGAGGTCGCCCGGCTCCAGCTTTGTTCAATGGCTCTGGTATCACCCTGACGCCTCGCTGGTCCTGCCTGGGATAACTTGCTTTGTACTTTTAAATCTGCTTCTCCTGGTCGCAGCAACGGTATTTCTTTTCAGAACTACTGTTGGTTTTTCACCTTTTCAGTGACACAGAGTCCCAAGTCCCCAATATAGATATTCTTTCAAACAGCAGGACAGGTTCCCCCCACACCCAGGCCTCACCGCATGAACATCCGGGTCGCTTTCACCAGCTTTGCTCGGTCTCTGAAAGTTGATGCGTTTTTGCCAAGACAGTTTCCCTTTCATTTGGAAAACCATGGTGAAGACAAATGTTCAACTTTCAGATGATTTCCTTTAAATTCCCAGCCATGGTACTTGCAAGGATTTTGAATCTCAGAGAAAGGGTAAATCTTGCCCTATTTATAACCCTTAACAAACTTCTTCCAGCAAATCACAGAGCACCTGCCTCTGCGGCTTTAAAATGACTTTTTTTTTTTTTTTAATTATAGGGGATGCATTCTTTTAAGATAAGATAGATTTGAATCCTGCAAGGTTGAAGTTCAGCTTAGAATGTCTGAAATCCCTAATGTTTGTACTCAGATACAGGCTGCAAAACGGGGCTTTGCAAACAGAGAACAACAAAATCGGGTAACTTTCCACTGGTTGCAGCTGGAAGCAGGCTCCGCCTCCCGTGGGTGACTGACAGTGGTTTTCTCTTCCTGCCTTGAGTGGCAGGCTTTTTGAGACGGAAAAAAAAAAGAATCAGTTCCAATGAAGACTGCCAAACTTTTGCCAGGAGGGAGGCCGAAGTTTGAGAACTTGGAATCCAATCTCAAAAGAGTCTCGTTCGAGATTCTTTTGCCACTCAAATTTTTGCCTTTGCAAAAGACACTTTATATTTCTGAGCCTTTAGTTTCCTCTCTGTGTAGCAAAGCTGAAGATACTAGCTTGTCATTTGCTCTGAAACCTTGGTGAAATAGGAGATGAATTTGTTTTTATTAATAATAGAGAAAAACAAAGATGGATGTAGAGAAATTACCAAGGTCTTGAGCTGTATCGACTAATTGGTTATTTATTGGGGTAGTGAAGAAAAAGAGACCAAAGGAGTTGAATTTACCATGAGGGAAAGGGCCAAGCACAGGAGGACAGGCAGGATGCTGAGTGGCCACAGCTTCAGGTTGGCCATCAAGAGAATCAAAACCACTTTCAAACCAACATCCCAATCCAGGACCCAAGTAAAAACATAGAGTGTTGATAGCGAGTCCTGGTTTCACCACTGTAGTCACACACAGGCCACCTTCTCCCACTAAAGGTCCTGCTCTTATGGGTGGAAATGGGCTCAGAACACCGTTAGGCATTGGGGGAGGGGCCTGACTGCAGGGGGCAAAGGGGAAGGGTCATCATTTGAGTGAGTGGTACCCACTCCCGGGAGGCAGTTGCAGACCAGCTGCAGACATTATGATACTTCCTGCCTAAACACTTCAACACTTGTCCCCAAGGAATAGGAGTATTCTGCTTAACCCGAGTACCATTATCAGAGCGAAATTAACAGTAATTCCCTAGTAGTATCTAATATTTAACTCATTTTCAAATTTCCCAATTATCTCCAAAATCACTTTAGAACTGTTTTTCTTTTCTTT